AAAAATACTAATATAAAAAATATCTAAATTTGTGTAAGTATCTTGCTTGTCTAATTTAATTTTAATATTCAAACCATAATCTTATGTTTTTTTTCTCAATCGATTTTATTTAAAATTATTTTTTGATAATATCAAAAATTATCTAAATTTGTTTAAGTATCTTGTCTAATTTAATGTAAATATAAACTGGGTTGTACATTTTATATGCGCGCGCGCGCGCGTGATATATATTCTTTTTTCTATGTATATATATATATAATATATATATATATATAATTTCTTAAACTATAAAAATTTTTTTAAATATTTTTTGTTCGAGTATCTCACACTTTTAATTTAGTGCAGATTTTTCAATAAAAAATACAAGTCTTAGTAAATTGATATTTACACGCCTGTTGCAGAATACAATAATTAATGTTAATCTCTAGCTTATCGATTTTTCTTTATTCGTTCATATATTAAATTAAGAGATTTATTTGTAATTACCGTGCTAGATAGGATTATATCTACAGATAAAGGTCATTAAATCACCAACACGCATGCAAGTATCAAAGTTGTATTATTTCTAATACAATATATATATATATTTTTTTCAGATATACATTGACAATATTTTATAATTAAATTAAAAGAGAAAGAATTACTAAACTAGAAGTAAAAAGTCTTGAAGTTACATAAAATTTTTATATAAATTTTACGCGCGTGAATACTAAACATCATACCAAGATCTGTTGATGTTCATCAACATATTTGAAATGTTTTCTGTGTTAATAATTTCACAAAGGTGATACTTTGATATTTGCATAAGTAAAACTTTAACGCTCATTCAACGGTCTCTTTATTAAACTATAAGAAAATGTAATTTAACATCATTCAATTAATAAAATAGTTTCCATTATTGCATAGAATTTTTTATTTTATTAATTTTCTTTTAATAAAACTAGAGGTACATGAAAAATTTTCCATAAAAATAATGCATATATATGTGTAAACTCAATTTTTTTTAAAAGTCTTTTCTGTCTTAAGAAAATCTGTTTATGCCAATTCTAGACAATAAAATTGAATGTCTATATTGTGAAGTCTCCTATTATATTATATTCCTTTTGTGAATCAATTGAATGCTTACAAAGTAATGTATTCTGTTATGCTGCTATGTGATCAAAATGAAGAGAATTTTTGGAAGATAAATCCATAACGTTCTTGTGTTCTATGCATATGCTATTAAAATAAAAGAGGATGATGATTAAGAAGAAACTTTACAATAAACTTTACAACGCAAGATCATTCCTTCACACAAAATAGACAATCAATGAAATAATTGTTGTCATAATGTTAAAATCAAAAAAATGTCTAATAGGACTTAATAAAAATTTTAAGTTAAGATTTTCTCTTTCCAGCGCGCAACAAAATTTTAAAAGTGTAAATTTTAAAAAATTTCGTTTACCATATAATTTATTAAGAAAAATATAATTATGGAACTACGCAACTGACGTCAAATTTAAACTAAACTGAAGTAATCGAATTAATTTCCATAGAAAATTCCGTCTGTTACGAATCGGTTAACGTTAAACAGCAACCAGCGGCAAGCTTTTCATTGGTACTTATTCCAGTAAAACAAAACCACAGCGAGTAAAATCATTCCGAAGATATGGTAGTAGGCATTTTCAGTGTTTCGTACATGGCCGGGTAGGGAATCTGCGACCGAGTCGTCCGCGTCATCGGCATCACCGCTGCCGTAAAACTGCTGGATCTTGGATTCCAATCCCACCGGATCTGCGCCTTGGCAGTGGCCCAGTCTCGTACGTCTGCGGTAAAAGATAAAAGTGGGCATCGCACTGACATCCTGCATCGAGGCGGT